AGTGTGTGTGTGTGTGTGTGTGTGTGTGTGTGTGTGTGTGTGTGTGTGTGTGTGTGTGTGTGTGTGTGAAAGAGACAGACTCTGTGTGTGTGTGACTTTTGTAGTTAATAAATTTGTTTTTGCTTTATCTAAACCGGTGCGTGAAAATTATAACTCAGGGGTAGGAAGTTGTTGCATATTCCTCTCCACATTGACGGAGGGAGCAAATTTTATGATCTTATGCTGTACTGTTCCCTGAGCAGTGCAAGACGGTATAATTTTGGGTTTGTACTCCAGAGGGGATGTGTTCCTGAGGAGCTGGGAGGTGCCCTAGCTGAAGCCTTCCCATGCAGGGGCTGGTCAAAGAGCCTGCCTGCATGTAACTGCAGTTGGGTGTGTCCCTACCTGTATGTATGCTGATGAAAGTGCAGGCTGAGCGTGGAGGGCTTGTCAGCTTGTCACAGCAGTACAGTGTAAGAGAGAGCCCAGGCTGATGGATCAGGGGAGGGTCAGTGGTACCCCAGTTCCAGCTGGCACCCCGGAGGGAACCCATCACAAAAGTGTACTATGATATTTCTTGGGAACTGAGAACATTACTTGTGTGGCACTCTGCTGGTGTTTGGTCTCTTGCAAGGTTTAATTAATTTAGAAGAACCACTACAGAACAAACCACTAGATAGCTAATTATGACTCCTTTTACAAATTTAAAAAAAATACTAGATTGATATTAGCAACTAAATAATGTTGGTGGTCCTTTTCTTTTGTGTATGGAAATCTCTCAGGTATTTTTCCCTATAAACTTTTTTTTTCTCATTACAGATTCCAAGCATGTGTATATTTTGCATCTGCCTTTCAAGCTATCTCATGTGGCATTCATTACTTGGCTTCCGTATTCATGGCTGTTACGCCTAAATTTGTATGCAGTGTCCCTGGAAATGTGACTAATATACTGTTCAGCAATTCCTCTAGTTCAAGAATAGAGGATATTTGGACACTGTGGACATCAACAAAAAATTACATTGTGGTCCAGCTTGAAAACGGAGAAATTTGGGAACTTGATCAGTGCAGCAGGTCCAAGCGAGAGGGCAGTTTGTATCTTGCATATGAATATTCTGGCAACAAGTCTGTTTTTTCTTGTTCTGATGGATATATCTATGATCACACAAAATGGAAGAGCACCATTGTTACAGAATGGGATTTGGTCTGTCACCGGGAATGGCTTGCAAAATTAACTCAGCCCACATTCATGCTTGGAGTCCTGCTTGGAGCAGTGATTTTTGGTGATATGGCTGACAGGTACAGTGCCATCCTCTTAATACTGTAGTTTAAGAGTGCAATAACCCTGTATGTGCCTAAATGCTTTGCTGTTATATTAGATACTAATTTAAAAGAAGTTTAATCTAATTGCTGTTTTATTAACAAATGTGTTCTTCAACAGAGCTTATATTTATCTTTCTCTGTACAGATGATTTGTGTTTTTCTATCAAAAACTTCAAAAACTGTTGATAGAATTTTTTTTTAAATGTCATGCTTTATATCAAATGTAGGCCCTGATCCTGCAAGCTACCCCATATGTGTGGTACCTTGTACCTAAGCAGAGCTTTCTGTAGGATCAGGGTCATAGTGAGTTTCCCTGGTAATAGTTCCCCCTTTCCCTCTACCCATTCTCCTCATCTTATTTATAATAAAAAAGAGAAATGTTTATGATGGATATGATGAATAGTTAAAGCTATGCTGTAAGGTTAAAAATAATATATTTTAAAAAAAAAATTTCCTGACCTCTGTCATTACTAATACTTTATGGGACTGATGCAAAGACTTTGGGATTTGAATTTGGTCCTGTATTACTAAAACTAAAAATCTACTGTATTTTTCACCATTACTGGTTTACCTTTTTTTTTTTTTTGCATTTCAGTCTGTATGAAGGAAGGAAATAGACCAATCAGTTTCCCTTTAGTTTGCCATCAGTTTCACTTCCTCCAGCAGTAGTATAATGCTGAAATATTTCAGTTGTCAACTCATTATGTAAATGCATAAAGAGGAGCTTATTTTTTCAGTTGGATTTTATAAAAGTATGGAATTGGTTCTCTTAATCTAAGGTTTTGTAAAACTTTCTTTAATACAAAACCTGAATTCAGAGCCTAAATTGAACTGACAGTGTCTCTTTAAATCAGTTGTAATATTTTCAGTTAATATGCAGACACAGATAATGACATTATAGTCACATAATTCTCAGTTAGAATAGCTCGAGCTCTAGACATCCATTTAAGAGAATAAACATATTGTATTTTATGGAGTTACAACAAAAAGTTTTACATCTGAAAGTTATTACTATCTGACAGCTTTTGACTGGTAGGAAATAAGTTGGTAGTTTCAGTCCAGTTTTCAGTCAACAGATGTTCCCAGCAGAAGAATGACCACAGCAGAACTAATTAGCATCTCTGCTGAGAATCTTGGCAGAGATTAAGGATTGAATGGGCATGAAGACAACTACCTCCTCCATTCTTCCAAGGCCTGGTCTTCACTACATAGTTAAGTGGACATAAGGCAGCTTACATTGACCTAATTATGTCAGTGTAAACACTACAGCCTTGCTCCCACCAATGCAAGTGCCCTACTACACGGACATCATAACGCCAGCTCCATGAGAGGCATAGGGCTTAGGCTGGTGTAATTAGGGAAACGCAGTGTCTGTGCAGACACTGCAATACTTACATCGGCTGTTGGCTGTCTTGTCAATTTCAGGGCTCCATGCTGGAGCCGTGAAATTGACAAAAAAGCCGGGCAGTTAGAGCCCAGCTGCCCCCGTTTCCCCGCTCACAGCCAAGCTGTGCTCGCCTGGCTCCCCGACTCTGGCTGGGAGCGGGGACCCCGCCCCTCTTCAGTCGGTGGAAGTGATCCTAGTGAGGACGCACACCACTGACGGAAGGAGGGACATGAACCACCGCAGTAATTACTGTGGTGGAGGCTCTAAATTGACCTAACATTGGTCGACTTAAGTCTGTAGTGTAGACTCACCCTAGGTCAGGGTTGAAGCACATTGGCAGGGCATTGTAGGGAAATTTGCAGTGCAGCTGTCTGGGCTATATCTGTTCTGTAAGACTTCACATTCCAGTATTATTTTAATGTGGTACCAAATTCATGTACAAAAAAACAAAACTGACCCCAAATCCAAATCTCCAAAAGCTGTTGCTGCTGAAGATAGAAATAATACATCTCTACATCAGAGAATAAAAATGAAACAGGACCTGTTCCTTATCTAGTCGACACCTGAAACATACTCTTTATTAATGAACATTGTTAAACCAAACAGGACAGAGGTAATCCATAAATAGATTTTATTTCTGTTAGAGTTTGTTTTCTCTTCAGTTGAATTTATTGGTGTTGACTTCTTCTGGTTATTTGTTTATATACAGCATGTTCTGGTAGATCAAAATGTTTTCTACCTGAGATGATATGGAAACCGGACAAACAAATTTAGGATTCCTTTTATGTTAAAGACCTTTGTTTCAGAATGAGGAATGACACATAATTTAAGACCTGGCTTGTAATATTTATAATAAGCTAAAATTTCACATAATTTTATTTCCCTGCTAATGTACTTATTGTATATGTGACATTTAACATAGGTGGGCATTCCTGGTAGTGAGTTTGTGTGTGCACTTATGAAATCAGAGAATTCTGGGGAATTATCTGATTACTAGTTATTAGATATTTTATCTTCTTGTAATTCGGAGGAATTAAGGTAAAAAACCTTTCATTGGAACCCACGTTATATTTTGAGATGGCAAGAGATAGCATGAGTTATTGCATGCTAACCTGTGCTGGAACATGTTCAGTAGCTGTTACTTAAAATAAAATGTCCAAGAAAAAGAGAGAGCGAGAGAATGGAGTGAATCTGTGGAAAATGGCAGATTACAGATGCGGAAGTTAAACGTAAAGCTCAATATGAACATACATAGTGCCCTTTTCTCTGGAGACCTTCTTTCCAGTCATGGAAAATTGGGTGGGGCTCCCTTTCATCAGTACTACTTTTAAATTGGTCACAGTGCTAGGTACAGAAAAAATAAGTTTTCCCCTCACCTAGAGAACAATATATCAGAGCTAAGATCAAATCTCGGGCTACTGTGGTAGTGCAGTGCCCTAAATACAGCACTAGTGATTCTTTTCATATTTACTATAATTCTTATTGATAAGATTTCCAAAGTTTCAGTTGCTTTTTAGTACAATATTTTTATCACATGTCACCCCATTGTTCACTCTGTGTGTTTGTTCTATCCTTCCCTCACCTTGTGTCTGTCTTATGTATCTTCATTATAAGCTCTTTGGGTCAGGGATCCTCTACAGCTCTGTGTCTGTGTTTGTATAGTGCCTAGCACAATGGGGCCGTGTTCTTGGTTGGCCCTCAGGCACTCTCATAATAAACATAGTTAATAATAAGAAATAATTATGATGTTTTTATTGTTCTGTGCAGAGTGGGAAGACGGTATATAATGTGGTTCACAAGCACTGGTCAGTTTTTATTTGGCATTGCAGTGGCATTCACATTTGACTACTACAGCTTTGTGATCATACGTTTTCTCCTTGCTATGGTAAGTATAGATGCTCATCCTAATTCTTTTTAAATGCAGTTTCCTAACGTTCCTCAGGAAAGCCCTCCATAATTTCTCCCTATTCCTTCCCTTCTCCAGTTTTTAAAAGCCCCATGTGTTGCCACAACACTCTCTTTAGCAAAGGAGTGAGAATCTGAACACTGCTTCTTCTTCACCCTTCAGTGCCCTTTCTCTTCGTTTTAACCAGAAAGGGTGCATATGAAACAATATTTGGTGCTTCCTTCATCAAGGGCTGACGATGTTTCTTTTAGCACAGTCTCAACCCCAGCTAGACTCGTAGTTAGGTGAGAGACAGAGTTTGAGTAACAAACTCTGGTTCCTGCATTGCAGTTTGCATTGCATTGTTATTTATGGTGTATTACTAGAAATAGACTTTATTTTTGTTAAAATATAGTCATGGTTTTACCCCAGCTATGTTCATTGATAGGGGATAGTTGCGCTTTTTTCTGATGTGCATCTTTTCTGTCTTTTAAACTACATCTAAAACGCTGAATATATGTGTAAACAGATAGGCTTGGTAAATATCCTAAAAGCTTCTACTATACTTGTGTGTATGTCAGCATATTTAGTTTTTTTAGCAACCAATTTCAAATTGCTACCCTATATTCAAAGGTGTACGTTTTGTGGGCTTTGCTTTTAGAATGCTTTGACTATTAAGAAAGATGGTGTGAGAAAAATGAAATAAGTGGGTTTAAAATAGTTTAGAAGTCAGAAAGAAAAATTCACCCAAGTATAAATTATTCTCTTTACCTGTTGCTGGCAAAGCATAAAACAAGAGGGGTCCTTGACTCTGGAATTCACTTCCCTCCTTCGCCTGCCAGAGGTTAGATTTATTCGCTGCCAGAAATGCTGCAAAGCCTATCTTTTCTCGCAGGCCTTAAGAGCCTGCTCCAGTGCACAGTGATCAGTCCATAATTTGTGTCTGGGTGTGCCAGGACTGAACCCCAGCACCTCCAGGCTTGGCAGTTCAGAGCTCTGGTGCCTCTGGGCTTGCCACATCAGTTATGAATGTAAAAAATTGCTTGAGCCCCAGCACCTCTTTCACTACAATTTAAGCACTGCCAGTGATGTCAACAGGAGTCTCTCTAGTGATTTCACTGGGCATTGGATGAGGTTTGAGGGAGGTTGAGGGGGTTTATAAATGGAAGTGCTAGAGATTAAGACTCTGATTGAACAAGCAGACCCTGCGTGGGCACAAAGCCCCACTGAAGTCAGTGAAGCTCTGCAGAGGCCTAAGTATCTGACCACAGGGATCCACTTCCAGGACTGGGGCTTAAAAACCCTAATCTGACACCATTGAAATCAATGGGGGCATTCCAATTACCTTCACTGTGTGCAGGATCAGATCTTAAAGAATGATTTAGACGGTTAAGTATAATGCATATATATTTTTCACTTTTGTATGGGAATTTATTAATTGGAGATTTTATAACTGGAGATTTGATTAATCAAAATATTCTATGGGAAGCATCTTTAGATTTTCGAATTGTGTGTTTTTAAATGTTTTCAGATGCCTAAAACACTAGATATGTGCCAGACAAATAGAAATCAGTACATTCTCTAAATAAATACTTTAATGCAGAACATTAGTATGGTTAGAAAACTTATGGGAGCCTATGAAAGTGTAAGGAAGATTCTCTTTCAACTATGACTTAACAGGATAGTTTACCAGGAGGTGGAAAATCATTATTTTGAAATATGCAGTTCTGTAGTATGCAGGTTATTATGCTTAAAACTAAGACCAAGATTTTCAGAATGGCTATTGGTTTTGGGTGCTTCAAATGTTCTAGTGTCCAACTTGTTTCACCTTCAAGGGGCCTGATTTTTAAAGGCTTTTTAAAAAGGTATTACCCACAAACGGAGGTATCCAAAGTCACTAGCCATTTCTGAAAATTGCGACCTGATATTTTACAGGTCTGAAATCAGTTTTACCTAAAGTTGATTGTTTTTTTTCAGGATTACTGTTGCTCTCTCTGAGTGCATCATACGCCAATACAGGGCAAGTTAGGGGGCTCTTAAGACATCCAACATAAACAAACATGGAAATATTGGCCATCTGTTTTTGGTGTTGTCAAACAAAGGGAATAGACATAAGCTTTTCTCTGTTTTTTTCCCCTCAGGTTTCAAGTGGCTATCTGGTTGTGGTTTTTGTTTATGTGACAGAATATGTTGGCATTAAAGCTCGAACATGGGCGTCCATGCACGTCCATGCTTTTTTTGCTGTGGGAGTCATGGTTGTGGCACTGGTAGGATTTTTGGTGAGGACCTGGTGGATCTATCAGATATTTCTTTCTGTAACAACTCTTCCCTTTGTCTTGTGCTGCTGGATGCTCCCAGAGACACCTTTCTGGCTACTGTCAGAGGGAAGATATGAAGAAGCACAAAAAGTAGTTAATGTAATGGTGAGATGGAATAAAGTAAGCACTCCTTGTAAAATTTCTGAACTGTGTTCAATTCAACAAGATGATCTAGTCAGATGCAGAACAGGTGATAATGACACTTCTACAGCGAAGAAGCACAGCATCTTAGATCTGTTTTATAATTGGCACATTGCAAGAAGGACCATTACAGTCTGGCTGATTTGGTTCACTGGGAGTTTAGGATACTATGTATTCTCCCTGAGTTCCGTCAATCTAGGAGGCAATGAATATTTAAATCTATTTCTCATAGGTAAATATCTATTTATTTTATTCTGCTTATGACAGAACTAGAACTTATAATTTATAAATGTCTAAAGATCTAACAGTCAATTTCCTGACCCCCAATTACCTGTACCATCACTAACCCCATTTAAAATTGCATATTTAATTCTTGTCAACTTGAAATATAGTTATTTTACAAAAGCAAGCTTAGAGTATGTTAAGGTACTATATTATCCTTGACTTCTCCTGCCAATTTTTGTGCTTGTAAAACCACATTTTCCTATTTTTAAAATTGTTTCTCTCTGCCCGGTTCTGTGAAAAAACAATACAAACAGGGAAAATTGACTAACAGTACAGGGGAAACTATTAAACTGATGAAATACTATCCAAGTAAACACTGAGAAAAATAGAGATTTTCTTCACTAATTTTTTTAGTCATAATAATATTAGATTATACTGGTAACACTATTAAGCTCATAATTTTTAAGTTTGTTAGAAGTGTGTTTTTTAAATCTAAGGGGCAATGTTTCTTTAATGTAGTCTTTAATTTAATGTGGTTGCAAATTTTCTCTTGACACGATAAAATTGGTCAGCATATATAGGGCCTGATCTAAAGTCTATTTAAGGTCATTGGAAAGATTCCCATTGAGTTTGGTGGCCTTTGGATCAGGTTCCAGTCCTGTAAAGGACTTATGCGTATGCTAGCTTTAAGCATATGAGTAATCCCAATAAAGTCAATGTGACTATTCATGTGCTCATAAGCACTTTGAAGGATTGGAATACTAGTGAATTAATTTTAAGTTGCCATGTATTATTACATGTTAGTAACTTGATGGTTGTGTTGAGAATAGGATGCTAATGTTGCTAAAATAACTAAGTTGTTATGATACAGTATCGTAAATAAATCACTGTGTTAGTAAATTTCAAAACTATTTTCTTTGTCTTCTGTGACCCACCTCGCAGGGTCCAAGAGCCCGGGCTCCAGCCTGAGGCTGAACATCTACACTGGAGTTAAACAGCCCCTTAGCCCAAGCCCAAGTCAGCCTGTGGGTTTTTAATTGCAGTGTAGACATATCCGTACAGGCCCATCTCCACATCATAAGGGCAGCTGCAGCTGCCTTGTGCCTCTTTGCCTGGTGCATTTCTTATTCCCCACCACCACATTTATGCCAGTGTAAGCCCTCCACTGACATTTTTGCCACCAGTGGGTTTATCCCAAAATGTTGGTGAAATACATCTTTCACCTAATGCCTATATCTTTTAAAACCAGTTTAACCATTAGACTAAATAAATGCTCATAAAAAGCAAATCAGAATTATTTTTAAGGGTATTTGCAGTCATATTTTCATGGTTTAAAACCAGATACATTCATAATGACAGGTGCCGTGGAGCTTCCTGCGTATGTCGTTGCTTGCATTGGGATGGACAAACTGGGAAGGAGAAACACATTGACTCCATTTCTTATATCAAGTGCAGTGATCTGTGCTTTGATTATGCTGATCCCTCAGGTTAGTCACTTACCATTTAAAATGTACCTATATTGTGGGGAATCTGAGATATGTTAATGCAACATCTCTTTCTAAGGCCTGAGATTAATTAAATGTAGTTTAGAAATGAAGCTGGAGTTCTTTACAATAGATTTTCCATATTTCTGTTAAAGGTTCCAAACTAGCATTTCTAGCAAAGGGTTGGAAATAAGCTGGTTAGTAAACAAAACCACATACAGCCATTATTTATTGGTGGAAATAATCAGGAAAGATCATAGTTTGCGGTCTAAATTTTTCAAAATGAATGAATGGTATTGAATTTGGCATGGTGAAGTTTTCTGGGGCTTTATATATTTGTACTCTCTTTTTATAGGATTTCAGTATATTATCTGTCTTAGCAAATATGGCTGGAAAGTTTGCAATTGGCGTTGCATTTGGCCTCATTTACCTTTACACAGCAGAACTGTATCCAACAGTTATACGGTAAGAACTTTAAAATAATTTGCCATATGTTTTTCATTATTTTGCTATTTCTTCCTTTCATTTGTTATGCTTTTGGGGCCAAATCCTGCACGCACTGAAGTCAACGGCAGTGTTCCAAGTGACTTTGCTAGTGTAGGATCAGTCTCTTTTTTGTTATAGAATTCTCTGGGTTTGGCTCTGCAGTAAATGCATTTATTTTCTGTTCCCCTCTACGTAGCCTGGTCCCACTGAGGTACAGGAAAAATGCTCAGTATTCTTAGCATTCAGTTCTCTCTTTCTGAATGTTCATGGTCATTAAGAATATGATTTATACTGAATGCTCAATATACTTTTTATTCTATTTATAGAAGCAACCAAGTTCACTATAAGATAAATTTAGATTAGCATAACTATATTTTTATAAGCATCTGTGCATTTCTAATTAATTGCTATATCTGATGTCACTCTCATTGGGCTTTGTTTCTTCTTGTCTTTCCTCCAGGTCACTTGCTGTAGGAAGTGGGAGCATGATGTGTCGTGTAGGGAGCATAGTTGCTCCTTTTTGTGTTTACCTGACTAGTGTTTGGATCTTCATGCCACAGGTATGTGTTTATTTTGATAGTCAAAAAAATTGTTATCCATTTTACTGAGATTTAAAGTTGAAGTGCAGATATGTTCAAAAGGAAAGGGGGGAGGGATAGCTCAGTGGTTTGAGCACTAGCCTGCTAAACCCAGGGTTGTGAGTTCAATCCTTGAGGGGGCCTCTGGGGCAAAATCAGTACTTGGTCCTGCTAGTGAAGGCAGAGGGCTGGACTCAATGACCTTTCACGGTCCCTTCCAGCTCTATGAGATAGGTATATCTCCATATATTGTTAGATTATATTATTATTAAATATTCTCATTGTTAATTTAAATTCTCTGATTTTTAGCTAAATATTTTTAGGAATACGAATCTGAACTCAGGAGTGAGCCTCTGAGGCATTGAAATCTTCTGAACAGTTGATATTACAGGCACTTTAAAGAAGAAAGACATATCTTGTATGCATTGAATACTGGTATAAAATTGTAACTATCTTTTGTATGAAGATGTACTGTATCATTCATGTAATTTGGAGTAAGTGTCTCATTCCTAAATTGAAAGTGTTTGTATTTAGTCAAGATCTTGATTGAGCAACCGTCTTTTCTCGTTGCCATCAAGCTCCTTTTGAAGAAGCAGAATAGCCTAACACAGATGATGGGAGAGGGAGCAAACATTAAATCCAGCTGATGATGACAAGATCCTCCATCTCTGTCAGTCGAGTGAAGCATAGATGCCATGTTAGATCACATGAGATGAACTGGAGCCCTCTCTATGAAGAACAAGCCTAGCAAATCTAAGCTCTCATGGACCACCAGCCTAACTATGATCAAAACATCCTGCTGATATGGAGTGCTAAAAAGAATAAGGACAGAAGCAGCCGAATAGTGGGGCAGTGAGATGTTGAGGAGGTGGCATAGATGGGATAGTCAGAGCATAACCAGGTGAGAAATAACTCAAGAAGTGACTACAGAAGAAAATGATGCTCTCGTGATGCTCATTAGGACTCTGACAATCAACAAACCTTGGAATCAAGAGACGACATCTTTTTGTAGGTGGCTGCAATCTCATTCCACCATGTGATCCAACAGTCATCTGTAACTTTAACTGTCCCATGAAGATGAGATAGGGCAGTTTCTTTGTAGAAGAAATTGGGCACTTTCTTAGCATTACGTGGATTTTGGAGTTCATTTTGTCCAAAATATTTTTAACAGTATACTTATATTCAGTGCATACAAGTTATCCCCTATTCTCTTTATGAAATCTATTATGTGTGCTGCTCAGAAATTCTACAATTGCTCAATCTTACTTTTTCAGAAGGGGTAAGTTTAGGTTCATATACATAAATGGATAGAAATCTTATATTGAGGAGTTAAACTGATAATGAGCTTATTTTACCCATTTTACTTTTAAAAAAATTACTTTTACTTCTTTGAAAAAACTTTACAACTCACTTTTAATATCACAGCTTGTATGGGAATTACAGATGTAAAGAAGGTGAAAGCATATTGGCCTGAATTTTCAACCCAACCTCTCTTCCTGTGTTTCTGTTTTTGCGCACACACAGTTGGGTTTTCCTACAAAGGTAGAGTAGTGTCCATTTGATTTTAAAAATATAAAATCTACATTTGTGAATGCTAGAGACTGGTTTGAGAGACTGTCTGAAAACTTGGCCCATTATGTAAGTAACCTATGTCCAGTATTTTAGGAATCATTTGTGATGGTGGGGAAACAGAGTAGGAATGAATAAATAAATAATGTTCTTAGCAAGCACTCTTATCACACCAAAGAAATGAACCTAGAAAATACATGAAAAACAAGATCTGAAGAGCACGTAATCGTAGGAGAACAGTCTCCTTTGTCTCTTCTTCTTCCATTCAGAATTTTGCTTTTCACTATCAGTGATAAGGTTCATCTGTTCAGAGCTCCTTCAGTTAAAACACAGCTGAGGGAAAGTTTAAACATTTGAGAACACTGTAAGTGCCACTGCAAATATTTCAAATATGGACAACTCTCAGTACAATAAAAACAGTCACATACAGTGTGAAACTTTGTTACAATAGTGACTGTAAATGTATGTTTTCATAACAAACTTCTACCATCAGGCATTTGTAAGTTCACTAAAAACTTTGCCTTGGGCTGAAGCTTATCATGCAAGGTCTCAGCTAACACACATTTTTGGGTAAAATTTGAACAAAATAGATGGATTTTTTGAAATAGATTGACATAGGTTATGTTGATACAGTATATTGTTTATGCCACACATCTTATATTGCATTAAGTTTTTATTGCTACTCATTTTCATCATAACTCATTTTTGGCTCTGTCTCCCAAGAGTAATGCAAACCATTCCAAAGAATGCCAATAAATCTTGAAATACCCACAGTTGTCTAGAGAATTTGTGGTTTTAAAGTTTAAATTAAGGCCCCAGTTCAGTAAAGCACTTGAGCTTGTGCTCTAGTGCCATGAACATCAAGAGAACTTAGTTAGCAAAAGTGTTTATGCACATAACTAATAGATTTTATTCCATATTTATCGAAAAATTTAAGGCATATGATATGTATGAGACACATCACCGATCCCTTTGTTATACGAATAAAAACAATACACAAAAAGGTTTAAGACATTTATTATGAATAAGCAAAAGGCCAGATTGTGCACTAACACCCTGCCCCCCCCATGCAATCTCACTGGTTTAAAATAGCACCACATGTAGCCCCCTCGCCCCCCCAATGATTTTGAACAAATAACAATGACTTAAATAATAAGCAGTTCTACAGCTTTCCATTTATATGACATTTTAAATGTCAATTCATTAATCCAATATCATCCAATTTATTCTTTTTGATCCTTTCTAGGAAATACCTCAAAATACTTTATAGAGAGAGGTAGAGGAAGAGAATGAAAATGCTTTACAGCTCTGGGTACAGCAGCTCTCATATCAATAGGGGAAACTGACACATGAGGATGGAATAGAGTAAATAGCTGATAGCAAAGAGGAAGTGATTATGTTTGTAGAGTAGTTACAGTTAGGAGGGGAATAGATACATGCAGGGGCAGATTAGTGTATGGACCCATGGGGCCCATGTCCAGGGGCCCTGGCCCATTGGGGGGCCTCAGTAGGATCGCCGGAACTCCGCCTCACCCCCTGCTCCTTCTCTCTGCCCGTGGGGCCCTGCCGCCCTGTTCCTCCTCGTCCTTTTCCTCCTGAGGCCCCGCCCCCTGGCTAGGCCGGACGCAGGAGTTGTAGGATGAGCATGTTCCGCCCTGCCAAGCTTCCCCCCCAGCCCCTCAGTCCCTCTCTTTCCCCCCTCCCTCCTGCGCAGAACTGCCCCCACATCCCCAGCCCCTCTCCTTCCTGCGCGGAGCTGCCCCCCCCAGTCCCTCTCCTTCCCCCCTCCCTCCTGTGTGGAGCTGTCCCCCTCCCAGCCCCTCTTCTTCCCCCCATGTTACACATGGGTATAG